GAGTGACAAACATACAAAAGAAGTAGAGGAAAAATGACGATAGTAAGGATGAGGAAAGAAAAAGTAGCATTTCCACTATGTTGTTCCAGTGCAGTATGAGCATGACATTGATGAATCAGCCCATTTACAATTCTACTGTGCATAAGAACATGTTAATATCCTCCCCTTTGGGAATGGCTTAAAGACACTTCAGTCAGTAGCACTGCCTCAGGGCGGGGATGGGTGGGGGTGACAGAGGTCGGAGGCTCCAGTGGTCAGCTAACAGGTCCCAGAGGTCGGGGGTTCAGTGGTCAATTCACAGTTCACAGAGGTCGTGGGTTCAGTGGTCAGTTCACAAGTCACAGAGGTTGTGGGTTCAGTGGTCAGTTGGCAGGTCACAGAGGTCGTGGGTTCAGTGGTCAGTTCACAGGTCACAGAGGTCGTGGGTTCAGTGGTCAGTTCCCAGGTCACACAGGTCGGAGGAGAGGCTGCACGAGAACCTCATTGACCGCCACATGGCTCGGCTGAGAGGCGGCGTACACCACGGCGCGGGCCACATCTTCTGCGTCCAACACCTGTACCTCTGTGCTCGTGTTGTACAGCTCTACCGCCTGTGTGTGGAGGAGATGAGCGACGGAATGGTCAACAATCTTTGGGTTTTTTGGTGAGTGTTTAAAACAAAAAAAGGTTTTAGTAAGTGTTTTACAGCACTTGCAACACAATAAGGTCATATAAGTGCCGAAGATTAGAGGTGTTACAAGAGAGTAAAAAACACAATAAACAAGGAGGGGAGATACAGATGATAAATGTTTGATAGAAAAGAAGAAGCAAAACCACACCAGAGCACTCACCAACCACCCGCTGTTTTGTTTTTTTGCTTGTTGAACGGCTTTATTCATGTACAGTAGCAATGGTGCACAAATGTCATATTCTGCACCCACCAATGCACACAACAAACGAGAATATTACATTATTATTACATGTTTGAACCGCTCCACATCATAAACTCTCTCTCTCTCTCTCTCTCTTTCTCTCTCTATCTCTCTCTCTCCCTCTCTCTCTCTCTCTATCTCAAACAATCTATGTCTCCATTGACTCAGTTTGCATCGTTTAGGTCCTATTCATTGGAATCATTTGAAATGAATGAACATGTATATATATATTTTGAGTGTTTCAGTCACCTGGTCATTTGACCTGATTTGATCACCTAGAGCAGATTACAGGACACTTTTGTCAGCATGATAGGATAAGGAATGAACACTGGGTCCCCCCCCCCCCCCCAGAGCAGTGCTGCTGATTGAAGTGTCATTAGGGTATTTCCTAAAGGGGGGATATCAACATGTTATGCACAGTAGAATTGTAAATGGGCTGATTTATCAATGTCATGCTCATACTGTGCCGGAACAACAGAGGGGGAACTGCTGCTTTTCCTTTCCTATTCCTTAATATTGTCATGTTTCCTCCATTTCTTTTGTATGTTTGTCACTCTCTTGTGACCCGCTATTTCCGGGGCGCCTTGATAGTTGAAACAGACTTTGTGCTGTTGAGGTTAGAGAGGTGAGCAGAGTAAGCCTGATTTCCTGTTTGGACTTCTCTGTTGCCATCCACCCCTTGGCGCTCATATGATCTTATGCAGTTGCGAGCGCCGTAAAACCTTGCTAAAACAAAGAAACGAACACTGGGTCTAGGCAAGCTGACACAGAGGCACATGGTTCTCCGTCTAAGAAAAAGCTACATACAGACCCGATCAGGCTAACAGACTGTTTTTTACTGTGATACAGAATTATTTAAATCTGTAACTTGTAACCCAAAGACCCTGTTCTAAAAATACAAATCTGCCTGAGACGCCACCTGGAGCCAAGGGTAATATTTTTTGTTAGCATTGTTTGTTTTAGTAAAGTTTTACAGTGCTCACAACAGCATAAGATCATATGATTGCCAAGGGGTGGATGTCAACAGAGAAGTCCAAACAGGGAATCAGGCTTACTCTGCTCACCTCTCTAGCCTCAGCAGCACAAAGTCCGCTTCGACTATCAAGGCACCCAGGAAATAGCAGGTCACAAGAGAGTGACAAACATACAAAAGAAGTTGAGGAAAATGACGATAGTAAGGATGAGGAAAGAAAAAGCAGCAGTTCCCCCTATGTTGTTCCGCCACAGTACGATCATGACATTGATAAATCAGCCCATCTAGAATTCTTCTGTGCATAAGAACTTGTTAATATCCCCCCTTAGGTAATGGCCTAAAAACACTTCAGTCAGTAGCACTGCCCTGGGGGAGGGCTAAGGTAAGTGATCCACAACATTTACCGCTGTATCAATCGGAGCCTTCAGGGCTCCCGGTGTTGCGACTTTACCCGGCTGGACATTGGTCATCCGGATGCCGTGTTGTGCGACTTCGCGCCTCATGCAGGCGGTCATGCCCTCCACGAAGTACTTGGTGCCTCCGTACACCGCGATGCCCTCAAACGGCTGAAGAGAAGGTGGCAAAAAAGAGGGAATTTTTAAAGTTTTAGTGTGTTTTATGACACTTGCAACACAATAAGATCGTTTAATAAGTGCCAAAGATTAGAGGTGTTACAAGACAGTTAGTTTTAGTAGAGGTTTTACGGCGCTTGCAACACAATAAGGTCATACAATTGCCAAAGATTAAAGATGTTACAAGAGAGTAATAAACATAAAAAAGAAGAAGGGGAGATAAGGACGATAGATGTTTGATAGAAAAGAAGGAGCAAACCACACCAGAGCACCCGCCAACCACCCACCCCAGCTCTTGACAGCATGTGGATATGAAGTTTTAGAAAAACCTTTTTTTTTAGGCAAGCGTTTCACTGTGCTTGCAACTGCATAAGGCCATAGGAGCACACGGGACACATTAAACATTTTCAGTTGGTAGGAAATTTTGAATTTTGTCCGGGTGGCGGCTGAAGCCTACTCTTATCGATTTTACACCACCAAGGCATCTTTAACATGCGCAGCTTGCACACGAATCCTCCGAGATTTTTCGCCCTTCTCCGAGAAGGCTAGGTGTAGATCTTTCCTTCCAGAAGACCAGGGGTGGAGTCAGGAACCCAGAGGAGGGGGCAAAGGAGGTGAGGGGGTGGGGACAGAAAGTGGAGACGAAAGCAGACGACAGAACATTGCTAGAGAGTAGGAAAGGAGGTGAAAGGAGACAATTTTAGAGAAGAAAAATTGTCCGTCGCTACCCGGATTCGAACCCGGGACCTTTGAAAGAGAGGCAAACACCTTAACCTCTATGCCACGAGAGCCCCCTGTCAATTTATTATTAGTGAAGAGGGAGAACATATAACAAGTCAAATTAATGAACATTTTTTTTTTTTTGTAGCTTGATAGGAATAATTCTTTAAAGTTAAAAAAGACAGCAAATCTTACTCTTCTTCCGGAGTCGGAGGAAATGTTGATGATGTGTCCTGTCTTGCGCTTGACCATACTGTCCAGTACAGCCCCGATGGAGTTCAACACACCCTGAGAGAAAGGAATATGTGAGGCAGCGTTGTGAAATCAGGTGCTGGTAAAAATAATCAAAGTGATGAAACAGGCATTTTTCCGTAGGTTGAGAATTTTCATTGAATTTTTTATTTTTGGGTCAACACCTTTCATGCTAATTAAAGAACACATTTCTGGGTGGACTTCACTGAAAAATTTGCTTAAAGGCATAAAAAATGTAAATTTTCAGTTTCCACGGACTCTCATGCAAAGGAAATAACTCATCTTTGGCGGCCATTTTCTCACTAATTTTACCTCTGAAACAGGTGACCCCCACCTCCATTCGCGAAATCTTGAATTCTACTCAAGATATTGGGATATTTTTTTTTATCCAGAGCAAGAAAAATGAACAAGCTTTAAGATGATAATAATAACTCTGCATGCCCAAAAATTGACCTGAGCCTGATTCTACCGCGTCATGACACATATGTTTGAGATATTATGTAAATGTGCTACTATTATGACGACAAAAGACCAAAAATCCCATCTCACTCTGTTTCTGTTTTAGTAAGAGTTTTACGGCACTTGCAACACAATAAGGTCATATGACTAATATGAGTGCGGAAGATTAGAGGTGTTACCAGAGAGTAACAAACACAAAAAAGCAGGAGGGGAGATGAGGACGATAAATGTTTGATAGGAAAGTAGGAAAGAAGGAGCAAACCACACCAGAGCACCCACCAACTACTCATTATCTCCCTATAAAAAAATTGTATAGAGTGCTTCAGGTGATAACATCACACCATTTCTATAAAGTGGCATCCAAAAGAAACTTGAAAATGCAATAAACAAATCATCGTGTTAAAGCCTCGCATTGCCTACTTGAGCAGCATACCAATTTAAAGCTAAATAAATTCTGTATCATCTGACGCATTTATATTCAATCTATGTAAAGAGACGTGGTCATTCAAAATTGACCTTTAAAAAATCAGGCTTGGCAAAATTGTGCGAAATCAAAGAAACGTGAAAAGAAAATTGTCTTCGCACCTCATTGCTATGCTTGTTCCGTTAAAAAAAATCACAACAGCTGCAAACCACCCACCAGACCAGTGGCCTTGCCTGTTTTACATTCATTATTATTTTCATCATCATTAATATTATTATTATCATTATTATTATTATCATTATTATTATCATCATTATTATTATCATCATTATTAATATTATTATTATCATTATTATTATTATCATCATTATTATTATCATCATCATTAATATTATCATCATCATTATATTATTATTATTATTATTATTATTATTATTATTATTATTATTATCATTTCATTATCATTTATTATTATTATCATTATTATTATTATTATTATTATTATTATTATTATTATATTTCCCCACTGGTTTGCCAGTAAATCATATTTATACTTTGACACCACTCTGTGCAGGGTCGGACATTGAGGTTCTCTCTTGACCTCAAACTGACAGGCAGCAGAGCACCCACTTAACTCTTTAAACCCCATCAGATGCTGGGAGTGTCCAGCGGTGATAACCCTGTTCCCCATCGGACGCTGGGAGCGTCTCATGTAAGTGACAACTGTTTCATTTTTGCTTATTATTCGGAACTATTCCAGAACCAAGTTTTTTTTAGTAATGACTAAGCCTTTGTTTCCTTCCGCTATCTAGAAGTTGGAGCCAAGCTTTCGGGTTTATAATGAGACAAAATGCACCAGGTTTAGGTGACTCAGGGCTTAAAGAGTTTTAAAAAGTCAAACCACTGTCCTGTACCTTGCAGTTGATGTCAATCATCTCCTCCCAGGCGTCCTCCTTGAGATTGGTCATCAGGGTGTAGTACCAGATCCCCGCCGAGTTGACCACAATGTCCACTGGGCCCAGCTTTGACTCAGTCTCAGCAGCCAAAGCTTTCACCTGGGGAACAGAAAAAGGAGACCAGATTAGGATCGAACATTAAAATCTAAAACAAACATTTGATTGTTTAGTTTCTTTGGTTTTAGTCAGAGTTTTATGGCACTTCAACACAATAAGGTCATATAAGTGCTGATGAATAGACGTGTTACAAAAGAGTAACAAACACAAAAAAGAAGGAGGGGAGATAAGAACGATAGATGTTTGATAGGAAAGAAGGAGCAAACCACACCAGAGCACCCACCAACCACCTACCAGCATTAAAAACTAAAACAAACATTCGGTTGTAATTTTAAAAGAAACTTACAAAGAACTAATGGCCATTTATAAAAAGGAAAAGATGACAGGCAGAAAATGTAGAGGAACACAAGACAGACAAGTAATGTTGAGTCTCCTTGAGCTCACCAACTAGATAAGTAGTATGTGTTACAACGCACTGGAATCAGGCGCTCGTCAGTTTTGGGGCATATGGAGTTATTGGAGTCATCTTAAAGCCTGTCTATTTGCCTTGCTTTTGATGAAAAAAATATCCATTTATCTTAGAGATAAGTCAAGATATAGGCTATTGAAAGAGGTGGGGGTTGCCTGGTTTCAGAGGTAAGATTAGCAAGAAAAATGGCTGCCAAAGTTGAGTTATTTCCTTAGCTTCAGAGTCCGAGGAAACTGAAAATTTATATCTTTTATGCCTTTTATGTCAACGCTTTTCAGTAAAATCCACACCGAAATGTGTTCTTTAAAGGGCAGGAAAGGTGTGCGCAAAAAAACCTTTAAAATTCGATAAAAATTCCCAACCAGCGGAAAAATGCTAGTTTCTTCACTTTCATTATTTGGAGGAGCGCCTGATTTCACCACAGTGCCTCACATTTGATCGCTTAGTTTGTTTAGTTTTAGTAAGAGTATTACGGCACTTGCAACACAATAAGGTCATATAAGTGCAGAAGAATAGATGTGTTACAAGAGAGTAACATACACAAAAAAAGAAGGAGGGGAGATAATGACGAAAGATGTTTGATAGGAAAGAAGGAGCAAACCACACCAGAAGTCACATTTTCACTCTTTAAAAAAATGGAGATAGGACAAAAAAATCACTGAGGTCACGATTTCACAAGTAAAAATGAGGCCAAGTTTGTCTTTCCAAATGGTTGCTTGATTTCAGTGGTTTCCAGAAATCTTGAACTACACCAAAAGTGGGCATTGCCCTACCTATAGGAGAAGTTTGGTTGCATTGGTGGGTATATATTTGTTTGGTTATAGAGAAAACTCTCCTTGTCTTTTAAAGAATCTGAACAAGGGGCAAAAACTTTACCTTTGATTTTCTGTCAAAACACGATTTTTCGGAATAGCCCCCTTGTGCTTAAAAGCAACCAAATGTCAGAGGAGAAAGTGCCGTGGCAGTTACCTGGTCCCTCTTTGTGACGTCAGTCTTCACCCCTATGGCAGTCCCACCCTGACTTGTGATCTCTTCCACCGCCTTCTGGAGGGCGTCCTCGCTTCTCGCTGCAAGGGCGACCTTGACCCCGAGTTTGGCCAGCGCAACTGCGGAGGCTTTCCCGATACCGGTGGACGCGCCAGTTATCATGGCCACCTTGCCAGACAGGGATGGTGTCTCACTCACTGGCCACAAAAGAAAAAGCAAATTAAAAGTTGTTAGCTTTAGTTTTAGTAAGACTTTTACGGCACTTGCAACACAATAAGGTCATATAAGTGCTGAAGATTAGAGGTGTTACAAGAGAGTAACAAACACAAAATAGAAGGAGGGGGGATAAAGACGATAGATGTTTGATTGGAAAGAAGGAGCAAACCACACCGGAGCACCAGCCAACCACCCACTAAATCAAAAGTCTATGAATAACCAAAGCTATCCAAGCTGACAATGGATTCTTGAGGAGAAATTTTTAAGTCGTAAACATTTTGGTAAGTTTAGTTTAAGTAAAGTTTTTCGGCGCTCGCAACTGCATAAGCTCATATGAGCACCAAGGGATGGATGTCAACAGAAAAGACCAAACGGGGAATCAGGCTTACTCTGTTCACCTCTCTAGCCTCAACAGCACAAAGTTTGTTTCGACTATCAAGGCACCCCGGAAATAGCAGTTCATAAGAGAGTGACAAACATACAAAAGAAGTAGAAGAAAATGACGATAGTAAGGATGGGGAAAGGAAAAGCAGCACAGTATGAGCATGACATTGATAAATCAGCCCATTAACAATTCTACCATGCATAAAAGCATGTTAATATTCCCGCTTTGGGAATGGCCTAAAGACACTTCAGTCAGTAGCACTGCCCTGGGGGAAAGGGGGGAGAGGGGGCGATTTGGTCAAAGTCATCACAATACGGCAAAAACACAACAGGGACATGGGAGTGGTTGTTCGCACAAGTGATTGTCTTATACAGGTTGTTCGCACAAGTGATTGTCTTATACAGGTTGTTCGCACAAGTGATTGTCTTATACAGGTTGTTCGCACAAGTGATTGTCCTATACAGGTTGTTCGCACAAGTGATTGTCTTATACAGGTTGTTCGCACAAGTGATTGTCTTATACAGGTTGTTCGCACAAGTGATTGTCTTATACAGGTTGTTCGCACAAGTGATTGTCTTATACAGGTGGCCTTCGGAGAAAGTTTGACTGTAGTTTCAAGGAAAAAACAAGGGACTTGAAAAGAGAAGGGATTGGTCAATGTGTAGCGAAATGACAAAAAGAGTCACATTTTATTAAATACTTCCCTAAGTTTAACGATTTTATGTTTTTTTTGGTCGATAATTACTTTTGTTTTTGCTGTAAAACATCATAAATTCAATTTACAGGAAGAACCAGGGGAACTTTCTGCACAATTCACATTCAGAAGGAATTCACTTTACGTGTGAATATTTGCGACCTCAGAGCTTTCTTGTCGTATCTCCATTTTTAATAACAGTGAAAACAGTTCATAACAAAGAGAGAGCTAAGAAGAAGTCACATTTTCGCCGTTAAATAAAAATGGAGATATATGACAAGAAAGCACTGAGGTCGCGATATTCTGTTTACATTAGCATATGTAAAAGAGTTCAAAATTGAGGACAAACTAGGCAGCTGCACACTAGTACGGTAAGGAGATAAAGTAGGCCCTAGATATCTACACTTATCTATGGGACGAGCAGAGAGTGTCACTCGACTAAGCTATCAGACAGACAGTCACAGACACTTGACATGAAGTCTATCGGCAGACTGCCCCTTGTTCCTATTTTTTTCCGAAGAGGCTAGGCAAACTTAAAGACCGGTAGACGGCTGGGCCAGCCGTACTTAATAATGATGGCTAGACAGACAAACAGCAAAAAATAGGCCTACTGAATTGTAAATAAGTTCTTAGTTTGCAATGCCTAAAGTATTTGCATTTGAGACGAAACCAAAAGGAGTCTAATTACTGACAGTACATGTATTTTAACCCTGAATAATTACTAATGAGATCTGTGTACTCAACAGGTTTCTAATAGGGCCTAAAATAAGTGTGGCTAGACTGGCCGCAGGCCAGCCTTACTAAAGGATTTTTTTTTCTTAGTTATTGTAGTCAGTGCAGGAACCCCAAGAAAACACTTTATACAGTAACAACTACAAGGTTCAACATCACACAGCCCAGCCATTCCATGAAAAATGAAACTGCAGTGACACAGGGCCATTACATGAAAAGGAAGTGGCTATTCTCACCCCGGGTGAGAATAAAAATACGATCGACCTCTCACCCTGGGTGAGACTTGCCAGCGTTGGCTATTCTCACCGGGTGTGAAACAAGACCAGTTTTTCCTCATTTTTGAATACTGTCTATCGGTGCGGATGATCAAATTGACAAAAAACAAAGAAAAAAATGATGATACAGCACAAAAGTAAACTAATTTGGTCATTTACAAAGATGCTACAGCTATTTCACTTTTCGAATCGAGTTGAACTACACATTTACCATTTCGTTTTGCCCGGAAGTTCTCACTACTCGTTCTCGCTACTCCTTCTCTTTCTTTCTCTCTCTCTCCCTTTTACTCTCC